ATCATCCTGTTCCATAAACTGCTGAGAGCCAATCAAGTAAGGTAAAGGCCTGTCAATATAGAGATCCTAGAAAGAGACAACATCAGGTCTTTCTGACATCTCTGAACAGCTCTACATGGCTGACAAAAACAGAAGTCTTACACCCACACCCCTTGTTTTAACTCAAGGAAGTTACAAGCCTGTTTAAAGAGAGTCCCACCAGACATACACTTCAGGTCAACATGCAACAGTGGGACAGCTGAGGTTTATTCCATTTCACACTGTCAAAGCAAGGGGCCACTTCTATTTGTGTAGTTCCAACTTGCTTTCCTCAAGCCATCTAACAAAAGAATATTGTTGCAAAGACTTACAGGCATCAGTCTTACCCCAAATCCTGTATCTAGGATTCTTAATTACTGTGAGAGTAAAAACCACCCACAAAGATATGATTTGTACCTAAAAAGCATGACATTTCTATGTCCCACTCCCACACAGAATTGAGGCTTCCCCTTCCAAGTTCACTGTGTTAAACTACCTCTCTTTAGGATGCCATACCTTAATGTTAACCTAACAGCAAAACAAGGCTACACAAGGAACAGCTTGGCAAAGAGCACTCCTTCAGATGCAGCCATCAAACCCTCATTTTAGCTAACGAATATCAATTTTATACTAATGCAGTGATACTGCTGACAGAAGCAAAGATCAAATCCAACAAAGCAAAACACAAACCCATGCTTCCAGTAAGAAGAGGTCTCTGTACCTTGGGCTCGAGTATCAGTTCCACCCTTTCATTACTTTCTTCTTCTTCTGAGTCAGAGTTGCCTGCTTTGATGTCTAGCTGTTCAAATGCACTGTCCAGAACTTGCAATCCATAATTCACTGCTTCCTGAATTTTGGGGATCAGATCAGCTTCTTTCTGTTCCCGAGTCTTTTCCTTTAGTAACAGAAAAAACACATTCTCATTGCATTTTACTCAAGACTCAATCTTACTGCAACACACACGCAAAATGCTAATTTCATATTAGTACAATGAAAGCTTTCTCACTATATGTATTAGAAAGACCTTCAGAAGTTTCTTTTGCTTGATTTAATGCATCATTATCACTCCTAGAAACAGAGATGTTCTAAACATCCACACCAGCACAGTATTGTCGTATTTGTGCTCCCAACCCATAAAGGGAACATTTATGGTATAATACACCTAGATTGTAAGAGATATATAAACCTCTCTAAGGTTTTATTCCTGGGAATTATTCCAGTCAGAGTCTGCTTCCCCATTTCACTACCTGTGAATCCAGTAGGGTGGCTCAAGGCCTCAGTCTCTTGCTGAAAAAACATGCATAACCACTTGAAAAATCAATGCATAAGTCTTGTCTGCTGAACACAGTATTGAGCTTGGAGAGTCCATAACAGATCATCACACACTGTTACTGTCAACTTTATGTCTGAAATGACACACGCTATCCAACAGAGAGACTTTAAGGAGAAAGGAAAGAGTTTGGTTTGTAAGCTGTAAATGTACGCAAAGTAAGTTTGAAAACGAGAAGGTAGACAACAGCTGCAAACATCCTGACAGCACTCTAGGCAGTGTTAACTACCTGCTCTGCTTTGTCTCCAACGTCAGCTTTGGGAATAGGCTCTTCCACTTCTTCATCATATACTCTCTAAAAAGTAAAGGAAAATTAATTCATGTAAGAACAACATACTGCTGCAGGGGCTAAACCACGGGTACCACCAAGAAACACACTATTAATATGTAATTAACTACACATTAATTCATTACACGTTTAAAAAAAGAAGCCATGGATGATGTCAAGCACCTTCATAGCCTCCTTTATGCATTGAATTACTTTAGTTACCTGATGTCTTCAGTCTCAATGCAACTAAAGTAATTCAAGTCTGCAAATGTCACTGCAGTAGTAGAAGACGAGTTGACCATTTAACCCTGTACACAGATTAACTTGAATATGTTAAAAAATGCACTCTTTTAACCCTCCCAACATAAAGGTATTCTAGACACCCTCAGAATTATTCAGATAATTTACAAACTGTCTACTTTCCTTTCATTCTTTAGCATTTACCCTTCTCCTGTACTTACAGAGAAGGTTCACAACATCCCTCAACCTTCAGTTTGTTCTGATGATCCCTCGCTCCTTCAGTACTTTTTTAGGACCAGCTACAAGGAGACAAAGGGGAATGAAAGATCTTCCTGGAAGCTGCAAACTTAAATCCAAATCTCAAACACAGGTGCAGTTATCCCCTGGGAAGAGAGAGATCTCTCACTAACTAACCAGAAATGAAGACCTATTTCTGTGCAGTTAATTTGGGAAGAAACAGCTTCAAACATACAAGACTTAAAACATTTGGTACAAACTGTTCTCAGCAGAATCATGCTGAACAGCCAAGTTAGGCAAAAAAGACACTGCAGCTCTGAAAAAAACACCACTATCACAAAAAAAATCCACAACAGAAATCCAGATTTCCATGTTTTCCTCTGCCACCATCTTTTCAATAACACCGTGGCTTCAGATGAGACACATATGGCCTGAAAACAGTGCTGATCTAAACAAAATGCCTGATAAAATCCACAGCAGTAAAAGAACTTTCCCAAATCTGAAATACTATTAAAGATCTATATCTTAATGAGACACATGCTTCTAGTGATACAATGTTGTAACAGGCTTTCAAGTCTAGCTCCACCTTTCAAAACAGCAATATTTATAAAGTGGTAACATTAGCCAGAAAATATGGTCATCACAGCCAAACGTAAGGGACAACTGCCTGCAGCCCAACACCTTTAACACCAAATGCTTTTAGAGTAAAATAATACCACTAGGAAATTTACAGCATTGTATAACATTCTCATATTTAGACAGACAAGTACAGGCAAATGCTACATTCTCAGAACTTGTGAAGATAAACCAAGACATTTCAGAGATCCCAGCTCATTCATAGTACTAAAAATGAAATCCTGATCTCCAGGTCACGTACAAACAGGGAAGGAAGGTACTTCAGAACATGCAAAAGGGAACCTACCAGTATTGGAGAGTGCATCACTCACAAAAGAATTAGGACATCCTTTAACAGAAAGCAATTAAAAGTCACCTTATCCCTAAATTAGCATCAGACTTGCCAAAAAGTTAAATCCTTTCTCCACGTTTAAGAGACAATGCCAGTGTCTGGAGCACAAGTTTGATGCTGTACTAGAACACACTCACATTCTCTATGAACTGGGTGTTGGACAACATAAGAAAGTCGTTGAAGACATTATGAAGGCGACAGTCTGTAGCTTTTGTTTCGCTAATCAATCCATCCACTTGTTTTTTGATTTCATGAGTCCTGGAAATGGTTTGTTGTGAGAACTCTTGTAGAAAATGCAAAAGCTGTTGACAACAGAGGAAAGCAATAGTCAGCATGCAGCTCTTTTTCCTTTTGGCAGAACTGACCATACACTTCAACTGAGCACCAAAACAAACACAGTTTAGACTAAAGGACCCGCACAGACACCCAGGATCAAGTCTCAGCCACTTCATTCTGCTTGTCCTTTGGGGCCAACTCCTCACTTTGGTTTTCCCGCCCGGACCGGAGGGTTAAAGCCCCGGGAGAGCCGCCGGGCCCTGACCGGGGCCGCTCCTCCCGCGTTCCGGGGCCCCGGGGGTCCGCGGCCAGGCGCCCCCTGCGGCTGGGCCCCGCCCGAGCCCCCGCGGCAGCACCGCCCGCACACGGCCGAGTCCCGGGGAGGCCGGCGCGCCGCGCGCACCCCTCCGGCTTGCCGGGCTCCATGCCCGGTGCCGCCGCACGCTCACCCCGGCGTCCGAGGCCAAGCGACCAGCTCTGCTAGCCCGTACGGCATCTTCCATTCGACCGAGGGCCGCTCCCACACGGCCGCCGGCTCCGCCGCGTACCCCGGTTCATCTGCGGAGAAGGACAGGTGAGTGCAGAAGCCGCCCTCAGCGCCCCGCGCGCCCCCGACCCCGGCCCCGCGCTCACCGCGGCCTCTCACGCGCCGGCCGCCCGCGCGTCAGCCTCAGCGCGATCACGTGACCCCGCCCCGCCCTGCGCGCGGGAGGGCCGGCAGGGGGCGCCAGGCAGCGCGGGCGGGGCGATCCCGTCCCGTCCCATCCCATCCTGTCCTGTCCTGTCCCATCCCATCCTTTAATTACTTTCCATATTCACTGAAATGGGGAATTAAATCCTTTGTTGATAATGCACATTTCTCCTGGCACAGACCTGCCTGCATTACAAAACATGAGATCTGCGTGCTCTGTGTGCACTGATGCTGCAAAATGTACGGTCCTGCCATCAGGCAGCTTCAGGTCCCGGGGGTCTTGCAGATTAGTTTCCATTAAAAAAACCAACATGACAGCTACATGGAACCTGAATGCTTCCTTAGGGAAAGTTGTTTATCTGTGATACATACACCAGCTTCTGAGTAGAGAGGGCTACGAATGGCACAATCAAAATCTGCTTTCTGTTAGTCCCATCCTAAATATTACAAGAAGGGTTCAAAAAAAAGCATTTCAGTCCTAAAATTCCTTTTAGAAAGGAATTTAGACAGGTTCCTTTTAAAGGTTAGAGAGAAGATGACAGCAAGAAAAATCACTGGCTCTTCCCCTCAGAACTTTACAAGTGATGATGTGATGTAAAGGTATCAAAAATCATGTATGTCATTGGGGACTAACCTGCAGATGAAGAACCAGAATATGTACGACTGCACAGGGCTCAACTCTCTGATATCCATGCTTACAGGCATGCCTTAGCCCAGTGGCATCACTTGCTGCTTGTACCTGGCCATGAGATCTGTGTTCAACTTCCTCAGCAGGGCAGAGTGCTGTTGGAATCAGACTGGGGGACAAGTTCTTTCCTGTGTGGCTGTAAGGACAGAAGTTACAGCAGACGGGTGTACCTTGTAATCCAGCCAGCCCCATGCAACTACTCAGCCTCATATATTTGCAGCAGTGTGAAATGAGCCAGAGGTCTTTTGGCAGGACTCTGAAAGGCTGCAGTGAAAGTGCAGGGTCAGGCAAGCAGGTTACTGGGAGATCCCTGTGGATCACAGAGGTGGGCCAGAGTACAGGACACAAAGGGCTTGAAGAAAATACACAAAAGACAGCTTTGAGAAGCACAGCACATACTGCAGTTGCTGTGCTCTTCTGCCCACCAGTTTCTGAAGAGCTAACAGCATAATGGGATGCTACAGTTATGAAGATACGGTGAAAGAGGAGGCAGACCTTTATAGATCTCTTCCTCATTCCACTTCAGCCTATTTTCTGCAATGTTGCTCCATGATGCAAAAAGCCACTGACTATCCCGAAGCTGCTTGTTAGCTCCACCTAAAAATTTACTACTCGAGACTGCTGCCAGACCATAAATCCTCTGGTTCAGGTGAGCCAACACTGAAAACTGGGGACTATACTGTTGAAAGTTTGTTGCTCTAGTGGGAAAATTTGCCTACATGCTGACTTGACATCAGTTATATGCCTCAAATTACATCTTACTCTGGGATTTCCCTACAGAGTTGGGGATACAGACACAAATATGTAAATCTGTGATTTTACCTCCTCAATGTAGTAATGAAATTAGCAGAGTTGGACCGAGCAGTGGAGTCCAATCCTGGCACACTTAGGGATTCTGTGCTATAGCAATCTGGATGATTTTCTCCTGGCTTGGATCACTAAGCTTCCTTCCTGTGAAACCAAGGCAAAAGTAGTGGGAGGGGTACTACAAACAGTTGGAATTATCCAGATCAAAGGGCACACTAGTACTCCTAAATCCACCAATTTAAACATAGGTTGAGTTAGCCTCAAATATTGTTCTTTATGTCCAACATCTGCAAACATTATACCAAGAAGCAATTGCAAAGCAGAGCAGGAGGTCCAGTATCTATGCTCTTGCACAAGCTGACACTTGTTTTTTTCCCATGGACTTGGCCCCCCAGTGGGTACCTATAATTTTTTCCGTATGTCCATAGGACTGCACAGAAATTTTAGCAGCTACAGAATGGCTGTAGGAGGCTAAAAGCAAGGTGATGCAACACTGAAATTAATTTGAAGGCTAGTATTGCACACCTGTTATGTATGATCCCAGCTAACTCTCTCTTCAGAACCTCTGCAGAGCTGAAAGCAAACATTTTCCTTTGGAGTGGATCCTGACTGCTCTCAAACCAAGGAGTCGATTGTTTTGTCCAGAAAATATCCCTATATAAACAACATGGCTAGCTTTATGCCAGGCCATACGCAACTGTATTAAAGAACACACACACACAGATTATGACATAACAGGAAATGCTCTGCATTCATACAGGATTATTAGGGGGATCTGACTTTTCCCCTTTACTTATTTTTTAAACTGTTTTCGTGAAGTGGTTACTAAATTCCCATTAGCTTTTGTCCATGAGGAGATTATAGCATACATTGAACAAGAAATTAGAGTCTCGATGTGACACAGAATATATATATTTAAAAATGTTTCCCTCTTCTTGATATTCTGAGTCATGATATGCCATATAGCTAGTCTGGGTAATTTTTTTTCCATGTGGATAAAAGTTTTGGCAGATGTACTGCTTAAACAGCCACACAGCACTTGGTTAAACTCACAAATATTTACAAAGTAAAAAATTAAAGAATACCACAGCCAGCTTTCCCAATAGCTAACAGAAAGTAAATATGTTTTTACAACTTTAGAACAGGATGCAAACAAAAGAGAAAGTCAAAATACAATTAAAAGTTAAACTTCTGCATCACATGGGAGAGAACCCCAACACAATTTGTGCATTGTTCTTCATTTTCCTTGCCACTCCTCGTTCTCATGCATGGGTTGTGTTGTATGGCTTGGTACAGATACAGAGATGTGTTGTTCAAGCCCTGCAATTACCAGAACTCCCCAGTCTCCAAGAGGTAGTCCCAGCACCTGCATTATCTGCAGGCTGCTAAAGGTCTTGGGGTTGACAAGCAAAGTCAGGGCTTGAAGATGCCTCAGACTTTGGCACACAGTGCAGAAAGGAGTGTCTATAGCTAGAAATAAGTACATATTTGCTGTCACTGGACCAGCACAGGAGCCTGAAGCCCCCAGACATACTTCCCTTCCTGCTTGATGTTCTTTGCTGGTTAATGCATTGACAGAACACATCACTTGCCTATTAGTGTATTTATTCATTTCAGGGAATTCAAAATCAGCTTTACTATAAATAATTAATTATAAACCAAGGGTCAGAAATAAGCACACTATGATTACCCATGCCACCTAAAAAGACCTTGCTGTAGTGAGTCAAATGACTTACTGCAATAAGCTGTGCAAGCAGAAAAAAAATAACCAGGCTGATAAATTCCGTTCAGGTAGTTAGAAATCCTAGGAAAAACAAAATCCACAGCAAAACTGGTAATCCTCTAAAGGAACTTGGACTTGGACACACATGGTTTCCCTCATGTGGATTTGATCCTTCTTTGATCCAAAAAGTTCATCTCTGATGGTAAAATCATGGGTTTGGAGACCAGCCACTACCCTGGAGTTCCCTTGGTGAGGTGTAGGAATACATACTGTGTAAGGAATGGGGGAAGCTGACTTTTGTGTTCTGTCTCTAGGTTCTACATTCTTTTAATAAGCTCTAAAACTTGAAATCTCTGACACACTTAAGGAAGTCAACCAAAGCCATGCATCAAGTCAGCATCAGAATGAAAAAATAAAAAAAGTAAGTTCCTGAATCACAGTTCCATAGTTTTCTACTTTAGCAAAACTTTGAAACATGAAACTCACAGGACTAATGAAATAGTGCTACCCTCCCCCTTTTGTCAAACAGTCAAGAAATTAAACTTCTCATATCAATTGTTGTATCATAGTTGATAAAGCAACATAGAGCCAGGATGACTGTGAATTTATGTTCCAGGTTAGATCCAGCAAAGCCTTTCACCAGGTGAGTTCTTGAGAACAAGGAGTGGCTCCACTGGAGATAATGGGCTTAAGGATGTACACAAGTGGTTTGCTTCATCCAAGCCCTAAGATCTATTTTGAAGGCTGCAGAAGTTAATTGGAGTTTTACAGCTTTCCTCAGAAGGCTTTAAACCTATTTAAACTAAAGATTGTACTTCCAACATTCAGGAGGTTTAGTTATCTATGTGACTTATGTGCAAATATTTACCTGCATGATAAATAAATTCTATGGAACCAGGAGTGAACTTAGCAAAAAACTTATTCTCTCATCAATTATTAATCCTCCATGAGGACACCAGCTCTCTGGCTGTTCAGGATCTGAAAGGGAAAGCTTTTTTGATGGAAAGTGAGAACACTGAATCATAGAATGGTTTGGGTTAAGGTGACCTTAAAGATCATATAGTTCCACCCCCACCTCTGCCATGGGCAGGGACACCTTCTACTAGACCAGGTTGCTCAAAGCCCCATCCAGCATGGCCTGGAACACTTCCAGGGATGGGGCATCCACAACTTCTCTGGGCAACTTATTCCAGCATCTCACCACCCTCACAGTAAAGAATTTCTTTATAATATCTGTCCTAAATCTGCCCTCTTTCAGTTCAGAACCGTTACCCCTCAACCTATCACTGCTCTCCCCATCTTTCCTGTAGTCCCCCATTAAGTACTGGAAGGCTGCTATAATGTCTCTCCAGGGCCTTCTCTTCTTTACTTGCTGCAGGTTGACTACTGCTAGAGATTATACATCAGTCCTGATACACAGAAATGGCCTTTCCTGACTACAACAGTGAAAATCTAGCCTAGCAGATTACAGTATGGTGTTTCTCTCCAAGGACATTGTTCTAAACTCTTGCTTATACTCCAGAGTTACTTAACAGTATTGAATTTAAATTAGTTTTTAAACCAGGGCAAAAACATTTAGTTGCACTTAAAATGAATCTCTGTAGCAGTTTAGCTGAGAGGGAATTTACTTAAACTACTGTTACTAAACTGCTCGTTAGACCTAATGCTTGGTGTAAATCACCATAAAGTTTACCTTTAAAATAAAATAAGAACACTAGGTTTTACATCAGTTTAACTGGAGGGTTTTTAAATAGCCTGGAAGTGAAACCAGATGGATGAGGCTTTTCTTTCTTTCTCCAGCTCTGAAAATATACTCAGTGAATGGCCCGGTAACAGTAGATTACCTTAAACAGCAAGTTGCTGGCAGGCCATGAAACAACATTTTGGGGACAACACGAGGGTAAATAAACGGCATTATCTTCCATCACCACAAAACCACCTGCCCTTTAGAAGGTCCTAGAAAGGTACTTCTAACCAATAAAAAAGTAATACTATAATAGCTGGACAGGATAACCTTTTCAGAGATTTCTCCAGGTGTCAACACTTCAGAGGAAAGTCTTCCTGAGAAGTTAAAAGAGACCAGACATGTTTAGCAGCATTCAGCTGGGAAATTAGGAAAGTTCTAAGTACGAAATTCTAAGTTGTCCTACCAACAAAGCCTTAAAAATGTTACCTGCTTTTTAGTAGTCTTGCATTCAGAAAAGGCAGATCTTCAACACTGTTTTCATAATCCAGCTATCAGCTTCATAGGAATACTGAAAATTATCAGAAATGGCAGAGCTGATCACAAGGATAATACACTTTTCATGGGAGAGCTTGTCAGGCAGTTTTGTCTCTCCTCATGCTACATAACAACTGGTGACAAGCAAATTAGTGCAGTGCTATGGAAGCAATCACTCTTGGAAAAAAAGTGTGTTAAAAAAGGAACTCACTGAAGACATAGCCAGATCTAAGACTTTAAGAAGGGACTAAATTCTTTTAGAGCAAGATCTGTGTATCCTGAGGTAGGAGGTTCAAAGGCACACAGCAGACAATCCACAGCACAGCTGGCAGAGCTCCGGCATCTTTGTCAAGAACTCACTGGCAGAAGAATAAGGTGTTCTGCCTAACAAGCACTTTGAAAGCAAAACCAGTCTTGCTTTGAGGTCTCTTTCAAAAAACCACAAAAAGACTGGCATAAAATTTCCTGTCAAGCCCAGGGTGACCTGGTGTTAGCAAAGCCCATGCACATGGTAGGTAAAAGGAAGGGAACTGTTTTTACAGTGGTGCAAGACATCGGTTGGTGCACATCAACTACAGTTTCTCTACATTTGTATGAAAGCCTTATATCATGAGATCTGGGAGAAAATATACAATCATTGCTGACAGAGTTTCCAAACAATGCTTAATATGACAAATAAGGACTAAGTCTTAATAGTGAAATAAACTGTTCTTACTTAATTCATGCTTTAGATACAATTTTTAAAAAAATTTTGGAGGAATTTTTTAAAACTCTGTAAAGCATAAAATCTGTACTAACAACAGCACCCCTGAGAAGAATTTAGGGATGGAAAGCAAATGTTTTCTATCTAAAACAATATGGTGCTTAAGACAGAGGATGAGATGCCTGGATATATATACAGGAAATGTCCTTCATAGTATCTGAGGTCATTTCCACAACACTTACAAGCTTTTACACTTCGTTCTATATTTAGATTTGAAATGAGATGCTGTGAGGTTGGAGGCTGTTCAGAAATGGGTTGCAAGAATGAAAGGAAATCTATGCTACAGAACTGAAGACAAAAACTGCTGTGCTCCCCTGAGAAAGGTTGTAAGCTGACTTGACACACTGTAAACAGAGACAAGAAGAAGACTTTTATGATAAGGTGCAATAATCTAGTATGCCAGAAGCAAAGGATGAGAAAGGATATTTATTGAATTTTTTCAATAAAAACATGAATATCATGAAATTTAAGTTTTACAATATAATGATTATATCAGAAAAAATAAAGCAGGTGTATAGTCTGAAAACTGAATGCTTAGTAACTTTTCATTAATTATGGATTTCTTACTAAAGGATTATCAAACCTCAACAGACTTCACCTTCAGCATTTCCTTTAGGGAGGTAATGGAATTACATTGTGATGCACTTAGATTTATTTTGCTGAATTCTTTGGGTTGAATTGTTATTAGTACTCAGCAATACATAGTGCATAAGAAAAAAGGAATGACAACTTTTCTTGCCACCATTCCAAAGTATATAACTGTATTTAGTTTACTCAAAAAAAAAAAAAAAAAAGAGCCCTAAATGATTTAAGTTGTAGTACAGCCAAATTTTCTTGGATTTCTGTGTTCAAAGTTTCTAAGCTTTAAAATCATGTGCTAAATTTCCTGTAGCAGATGACAAGTGCCCCACAGGGATGACTTTCAAATTGCTTGGAAGCATCTGCAAGAAGTATTTTTTAAATATAAGTAGGGCCACAGTCTGGTATTTCTTTCTGAAAAGATGTTGCAGGAGCAAGAAAAAGCAGAGCACTTGATTAGCACTCTGAAATTTATAATTTCTTGTGAAAGTTTTGCACACATAAAAGTGATCATATACTCTATCACGGTTATTCAACTCAAAGCCTGAATACTGCCATGGGAGTAACAGCAGGCTTTTGATTCGAGAGGAAATTCTTATTTTGGTTGAGGAGAAAGAGAAATGTTGTAATGTGTTCCAGCTTTGATTAAGGTCTCAGTGTTAAGTGGTTTTAATACTGGTAATGGCCAAGTACCTTCAGTTGGTTATCTTTCAGTGCACACTGCAGCATTAAGCATGAGTTTGCAAACATCCAGCAAAAGTTCCTGTTGCTATTGACACCTAGTTCACTACTCTCAGCATATTCCAGCCCACTGATAGCAGAAACTACTTAGCATGCACTCCTGCCACAGCTAAAAGTCACCTAGCCATATAATACTGCCTACAGCTTAGCTATCAATACTTGTGTTTCATCAGAAAGGCATTTTTTCTAATCATAATGCTTCCAAGAAATGAAAAGTTCTAGACTCAGCATTTTACTTAGGTCAGTGTTCTACAAAATCAAATATTTTCTCATTGCCAGCTGGCAAAGTTTCAGTGATTTCTTCAGATATTTCAACATAACTGCATTTTAAAAAGAGCAGGCTCTTTTTGCCCCATCTAGACTTGAACTGCATAACATAAAGGCACCAAAAATTATTCGCTCTCTGATTCCACATTAAGCCCTTCAGATTTCTTCTGGAGACTTGGAACTCTTTGGAAGCCAAGGTTTCCACAATGGTAAGTCTAAGGTTTAGATTTTTCAAGGGGATACAGATAGGTATTTGCTTTAAAACTGCAAAAGAAGAATATTTAAGGGAATAAATTAGGTACATATTTCAACTGTGGACATATTGTATTTAAAAACTGCAGGATGCAAAGGAAGTAAGACACTTTTGGGAAGATTACTGCAAATTTTGTTCTTTGTATTTGAATTCTTTGCAGGAAACTGTACAGATTAGTCTTTCATTTGCTGTTATCCTGTCCTCAGAAATGGTTGTGAAATCATTCAGAATTTTGTAAACATTTAGGACCATGCTTTTAAAACCTATCAATGTGAAATAAAGTTTAAAACATAATGGCATTATAATGAAAGAAATGTGTATTTTGTCAGCATATCCTGTCTGCTCTTTTCTTTTGATCTCTCAAGTTGTGTGCTGTTTCAGCTCTTCAAGCCTCCAAACGTGTTTGCAGAATCTGAATCAACAGTTAGGCCGAGCTAAATAGGTAGACAAAGCTTCTGGCCTAGTTTTCCTCTAATTTTTGCTCACGTAATCCCTGAAGGTACAGACATCAATTACTACCTTTGATGAGAATCTCAGGAATGGCATAAATCCTACAGAAGAAGCAGTACTTTCTATGAGACATGCTGATTCATAAATAGGGAAGAAATGATCATCTGCTTCTTTCTCTGCTTAAGCTTTACTGCTAGATTTCTGCTACTTATCTGACATATCCTTTGGTTGCAGCATGAAGTCAGTTCAGACAATGATTGAACAGCACAGACTTCCCCCTATATCTCTGATATCCTAGATTCAGTGGAAGTTCCAGAACGTTGATCTTTAGAGAGAGGAGCATGCCCAAGCTCATCTGACTGGCATTTCTAAGAACAGCATGACAAGGACAAACATTGGATCAAACAAGGGATAAAACATTCACAGAAGACAGCACAGCAAAAGAAGCGTTTTAGTATTTCCAACAAAGACATGAGGGACATGCCATGGCACTGTATGTGCTGTTGCAAACTGCTGAACCAGTGTGGAGGAAAGCCACCCCCAAACTCCAGCTGGATGTCTAATGTACAGCAAACAGCATCCCAAGCATGCTGAGATAGATCCTGTGTGGAAAGCCACAATTCCCTGCCCTCCCAAAGCCTGGGGCAGCTGCACAAAAAAAGAGAGCCCCACAGATTCATGCCAAATGCACAGGGAGCCTCAACAGAGACCAGCTGTTTCATCCTACAGCTTCATGGAACAGGAGCTGCTTAGACATTTTCTTGTGGCCAGGCACCATGGAATAGAGCAGTTGAAGAGTTCAAGTTTTTCTTCTTAACTTCTCTCGTTCTGGGGGTGGTGCTCAGCATGGCAACTGCCTCTGTTGTAGCCTAAAGCTTCAGGAACTACCAATCACAGAACCACTGTGGAAATTCAACATTATTCCCTTCCCAGACCACTCCATAAATCCTCCTCTCCTCCCTTTCACTACATCAGAAATGTCATTCAGCCCCATAAGAAAGCAGCACATCAAGGATTAAAATACCAAGTTTTTTCCACAGCAGCCAGAGGAGTTTTACCTTGGCTCACCATCTGCCTAAGGTTCAGGACCTTTCAGTGTCTTTCGGCATTTGTGATTCAAGCAACCCAAGGCAGAAAGCAGAGGTGCCTAAACCCAAAGCTTCTCCCTGCTATTTTAAACTCCATTTTCAAGCAGCCACAGCCTCTGAAGTTCAGAATAGTAACTTGGAAAGATCTACTCATGTTAAAATCCTTTCATGTTAGCCTGCAAGTGCTATCAAGAAAATCTATATAACTTCCTCCATTGTTTCTCAGCCTTTGGCCATTCCTAAACTTTTGCCTTAAGTTATCCAGCTGGAGCAAGCCATCAAAATAATCCTGTGCTCTCTCATATTCCTCCAGTCCCTCTGTCAGAATAACCATCATTACAAAGTTATGCAGGCTTTTTTAAAAGAAGTGCTGGTTGTTCAGCAGGTCCCAGAGGACATATCTGAAGAACTCTTACAGATGTTTAGCTGTTGCCAGCACTAGTCAAAAGGAAGTATGGCCTGTGAAGAGTCCAAACCTGTGTATTGATGGTTTAACAAAATGGCTCAGGTGAAGCTGAGCACAATGTACCACACTCAGATATTGTCCTAAGACACCAATTTGTATCTCTCTTCTCTACCCAGCCACCTATTTCAAAAAACCTATGTCATAGCACTTTGTATGTTCCCAAGTACAGGAAAAAGTAAGCAATGCAGTGAAATATCTAGAGTGTCCTTTTCCACTACTTTCACGTACACATAAGGTTATTTGTAATTTTGGTTCAGCTTCAGTGATGGCTTTGGAAAACAGAGATAATCAATGTGGAATTAAAGTCATGCTATAGGCTCTGTGTTTCTTTTACAGAAAAGCTTTCTGGCTTTCCTTGTTGCAATGAGCATCATCGTGGCCCTGGGTGATGCATACTGCTTTAGTAAACGTTACATGCCAGGGAAGGCTGACAAAGGTAAGAGCAGACAAGATCCTCTCACTTGATTGCTCTGTAGTAGCTTGGCTCTGTGTGGAGCTTCCAGGAAGGGCTCAAAACACAAGGGAGGAGGGAGATTTCAGAAAGACACAAATAGGAGGTTTCAGCACCGAGGTGACAAAAGTAGGGGTAAAACAAAGTCTCACCCTGGACTGAGTGTGGCTGCAGGAATATTATTGCTATTGGTGGTAGGTTGCTATTGCTACTGCAGCACCTGGAGCCCACACAGGAGTTGAGAGTAGATCTGAATAAAATGTGGTGCCAGGTGGCAGACCTGGCTGTTTGGTTGCTCACTTGCCCAGATCTGTCACACGGAAACCCTCTTTAATGAGTAAAGAAGAAAAGAATTCACAGCCTCCAAATAATTAGGCTAATAACACAGAGAACAAAATTACTTCTAATTTAATAATGCCAAGAAAAAAATTTTCAGAAAACTTCAAATAATTTTTAAACTTTGCAGCCTTTAGGTGGAGGCTTAAAGAACATGCTCTGTTTTGCTACTGTCTTCTGCAGGCTGTATGCTGAATGGAAAACTGTACCCCCTTGGACACATTGAGAGGACAGAAGATTGCTACAGATGCGACTGCAGCCCAACTGAAATGAGGTGTTGTTCAATGTAAGTTTGAACTTCTGGGTACCATCACTGCCCATAGGACAACCACAGCTTTCCATTTGCTGGGGATAAGGACACAAGAGAGCCTTTTGTCCCTCATGCCACAGAGCAAGTGAAAGCTCTTGACCATTTGGATCCTTAGCTGTGTTTGCCTTGGCTCACTTTCTGATGATGAGGAGTGGACACAGAGCCTTCCAGGCACATCCAGGTGGTGCTTGCCTTGAATTTTCTAGGAACTTGTGAACCCCTCTGCCACTGCAGTTAAATCTTTCCTTAGCTGAGAAAGGGAGGGTAGGAAAGAATTATTTTCACAAACGACTTCAGCAAAATTCCTCTAAAGGGCTTATGATGATCCTAATCCCTTTCCAGAGGTGCTTGTCTCCAGTGAAAATGCTGACCCTAGAATGACAAGGCTCTGCTCTGAAGTCTCTCTCCAACATTCTCCTTTCCTCTCATCCTGCCTTCTCAAAGGGCCAGAAATGGCTTGATAACGATCTTTGCCTTTGTTTAGGTGACAATCGGTCTATCAGGAAACAGCTACCCCCTTCTAAGCAAATTGGAAATAATGGAAACTTAATGGAACAAAGAGGAAACATGCCAAGCTCATGCTTATGTCAGACTGTAGAGTGCAGTGCTAGAAATCCCCATGCTAGTGCTGAGCATCCTGGTACATGTGCACAGTGCAGTGCAGCAAGGCATCATTTGAGGCCCTGGAAACTGCAGCTGGGTTGCACTCAAGGGAGCTGAGCTGGTCTAAGGCATAGTTTCAGAGATGTCTCACTCAGCAATAGTTCAAGCCATAATCAATGAAGTATTGAAACTTCTGTTGCTGTCAAGCTAACATTTGCTTTCTCTTTGCCAATGACAGATTTTCTACTCCTGTTGCTTATGACGAAGAGAACTGTGAAGTCATTTTCAATGAAAAAAGTTGTGACTATGATGTGGTGCTGAAGAATGACCCCTCAAAGGAGTGCCCTCGAGTTGCACGTGTGGGCTAAAACGTGGGCTAACACCTGCTCCAAACCTCTGCACTGTGGAATTGCTCCCCTTCCTACACATGCTTTGCCATCACAGAGAAGTACAATGACATGGGAAATCTACTTGTTCTAATTCAGCATATAAGATGCATTAATCACATACAATGTCTCCTTTCTGTAATATTTGCATGGGTGTCGCTGAGCTCTTTTGACTACAATAAATCCAGATGAAACATCCATCAATCCATCAATGCTTCATATTGATGTTTCTTTTTCTGCAGTGCCATGGGGCAGCGTCACCTTCTTTGAGAAAGGGATGCCTTTGCCTCACTACTCTGACATGTCTTTCTCTATGTTCCTTGCTTATCACTGATCCTTCATCCTGGGATCATGACCTGACAGGATTTTCCAGGCTAGCTGAGAAATTATCACGCACTTTAAAAATGCATTTGTACTGAGATGAAAAATTGTTTCTTATTCCACTGAAATTGCATTGAAATAAAACTGAAATTTGACTTATGGATGGGGACTTTGCTACACATGGAAGGAGACAGATCTGTTAAGATCAGAAGAGAAATGATATTGTCTCCAGCTTGAGCCTCCCATCTTGAATTGAGACCTCAACTCGAATATTTGCTATGCCATCTGTTACCTGAGGTAAGTCACTCACACCGCCTTGCTATAAAATTAATATGATTCTTTGCTAATTCCTATGCCTTGAGAGATCTGAGGCCATAATAGGCTTTGAAGTTTGTGGACATATGAACCTCAGAGTTAACAAAAATGTCCCCACCAAGATAAAGCTTCTTTCTCCACCTTTACAAGATGTTTCTGTGTCAACAGTGCACTGTATATTTTAGTGTTGTTTGCTGTGCCTTTCCTTAACACAGTTGTCCTTTCCTCATACACAAATGTGACAGACTTTATTTAACAACTGTAAAACCAATTTACATTATACGTAGCATTGTCAGTTTAAGGTCAAAAAGAATTTATTTATACCCTTGTGTTTACTTATGATCTGTGAGCTGATATGCCTCACTCTTCCTCTTGTTTTCCCCTTTCCAGTAGTGGTAATAGTCAACCTATTGGTTTTAATGACTGGATACACGAACTGCTATAAGGGGTCCTGCACTTACTCTCTCCCAAAGAAAACTGATCCCTCTCAAGAGAATGTGAGAGTAATACTGACATGCTGGGTTAAGAAACAAGGTTCTTGGACTGCTTTCATTTTTACTGTATCTCTTCTAGCTTTCAGTTGTTCATAGATAATAGCTGGTTTACTGGGCTGTTTTAATAACATTACTGCTCTGAAATCATGCTGTATTTCTCTCTGTCGAGTGCCTAGCACTGAAAGATATGGGAAAACAGGTTGATCATCTTGCATTACTCTGATTATCTCTGTGGTCATTAATGAGATGTAACCAGAAACTCCAGCTGAAGAATGACTAAATAAAATAGCAAGGTAAATCTTCAAGAAAGTCTCCAGGAATTTTTCCTGCCTTAGGAAGGAAGAGAACACTCTGTCCATCAGCCTAAGCGGAAAGAGGACATAGAAGTGGGCAGAGCGGTGATATTCTTAGAATGATTTAGTAAGTAATTATCTGGTTGGGAAGCCAACCAGATTTTAACAGAGCAACACCCGTTAGAGATACCAGTTCCCCACACAAGCAAGGCACCCATCAGCCCTGTACACGAACAACGTGAAGACATGCAACATTATGTGGGTCACAAACGATCTCAATAATCAATACACGGAATAGACTATCTACATTGAGTTTGCTGCTATGAGTGGTTTCGGCACAGCACATTGTTAGGTTTCCTCTGAATTCACAGATCACGCAAAGTGTTTTTTCATTGTCCCTAAACAGTGCCCAGGCTTAGACAGGTCATTCCCTGCTGTGTTTCAAAGAAAGCTGCTTGAAAGAACTTCTCTCCATACACGGCATAGCTTGCACATAGAAAACATGGGGGGTCCTGCAGTGGGAACAGCTGGGCAGTCACTGCTTGTCTGAAAGCTGAGAAAGAAAACATTTGTACAGTGGTTGGATTTTTGGGTTTTTTTGGAGTTGAGCAACAAATGCATCCTCTACCACTTAACACCAAACCAGCAAGTTGACTGCATTTTGACTGTAACAAATTCCATAAGTTTCACTCCAGTACACCAGCATCACTATGTGACTGGTGATTTTTGTTCACAAACTGCAGGGTGCTGCAGAGTGCCTGTCAAGCAAAATGCTGCATGCAAAGGCCAAAATGTGAGAAGAAAAATAAATTAAATAGTTCAGTAGTAGTAACAGAATAAAGGCAGTGCAATTTGCTGGTCCTTTTGTTTCAAAATATCCTGGAACATTTGCTCCAGATTACCTTTGAGGAAGTGGAGGAGCCAATACCTTGAACAGGATTCTGTGGTACTTCTCACAGTATTGTCAGCCAAGGTGAAATAGTTTATTTCAGCACATAAAGGTTAGAAAGAGCTGGCACACAAAGCTAGGGCACACCCTCGGGCATCCCAAGACGTAAATCAATTAGATCAGGCAGCATAGGAGCAGAACATGAGAAGGGACACTATGAATTCTCCCTGTCTTCACTGCAACCAACCAAGGCAGCTTTGGCCTGGGAACAGGGTGTAATACTTTGCTATCCTACTCTGACTTTTTTCCCCCCTCTTTAACTGGAAAATGCACATGGTCTGAAACACTGATAGTAAAACAAACCACAATGATGCTGTTAAATTGGCTTCATACATATTTGTGAGAGAATCCAAAGTGGATATGTGGGCTCTTGATTTCAGTCAAGAAATTCCTAGTGCCTGCACTCATGGGCTGATATGTTCTGTTGGTTTACCAGTGACTAAGAGTCAAGAGCATGAGCCATATGGCTGTGCCCATTTCAGGGCAGGGCACACATCAGCATTGCCAAATCTAATTCACTAGTAATAGGCTGATTGTGGGCAGCTTTAACAAACAAGGAAGAAAATGGTTATCCAGGACCCACTTTTTAAAACCCAGATGGCTCAAAATATGCATGTAAATTTTGTTGTGAGTGACAACTACTATGTCTCTAATGGGTTTCTCAGGGCGAGTGCTAAATATTCCTTCCAAGCTTGAAATTCCTTTCAACGTAGTTCCTATAACTGCTTTCCAGATCTGGTGTGACACAAAAGGCACATCTATTTCTTCAATGCCTGTTAGAACAAACTTTCCTGTATGTAACTGCCTTATGTTAATAATGTCCTCCCCATGAGGTCATTTTACAGAAACATCATTGTTGTTAGACTTTCATGGTCAGTTTGCTCAAGGACTGTTATCACAAATTCCCTCTCTATATAAGTTCACTGAGAACATGAGCTTCCTACTGGCCATCTCCTTACTGGAAGCCTCGTACTTCTGCAAGAATGGTGAGTCCTTACATCTTATGCTGTAAAAGGCTATGGTATGTTGCTATAGATTTTAATGGAGTTTCTGTTGAATTTATCTCAGTACTTGGTGATCTAAGCAACTTGGAGAATGTAAAAATTCTGTGTTATGAGAGCAAGCATAAGACAGAGAGGCATAGGCAGGTAAGAACCTGGCATAAAACATATCAGCATGTAAACGGCAGGAGATGTAACAGGACTCCAGCTAAGGCTTTATTATAACTTCTTTTCACTCTTCATGTAATCTTTGGAGCTAATCTCTTTCTGGCAGAAAGCAGCTCTGTTGTCTCTCCACCTAGAATTGGCCTTCATTTTTGTGAAAAGTCTGGATAACATCTGAATATTTAGTTAAACTCAGAAGTGTTATCTTCAGTTTTACTCCTTTGCTACTCTGTTGCAATTTTGTAAGTTTTAATCTCTTCTGTGAGACAAAATGCTAGGTTTTCCTCCTCTCATCTCTCAGAGACAACTTCTTTTTATAAGTCACCAGTTCTGTCTGAAACAGACACATGTACATATGTGTGTGTATGTGATTGTTTATTCCTGGTCTACTTTTCCTCTGTAACCAAGATTTTATATTAATCACAACTAATTACATCCCAGAATTCTTGCACTTATTTCCTTTATATCCCCAATGGAAGCCCTTCAAACATTTCAAACTAATATTGAAGGATAAGCCACTAGCTGAGGAACTTCAGTTGAACTTTCAGAAAAAAACGCTGACAAATGTCACAGCATATAGAATTATTTAGGTTGCAGAAGGACACCTGCATCTCATTTGGTCGAACCTCCTGTCTAAAGTAGGGCCAAGTCTTGAGTATTCAACTTCAGCTAAAGTTATTTAACTTGTTCCTAATCCTTCAATATTAAGGTGAAACATTTGGTAGTTCTTTAGACTCCAGTGAAAAAGGTTTTGCAACTATGAGTGAGGTTAGTGAAAGAAACAATCAGCGACCAATCCCATGGAATAAAAAGGGACAAGAAAAATTAATGGGGAGGGGAAAAGAATAGAACATGTTTTTTTCACAAACAGTATCTGGATCTATCAGTCCTGTTATCAGGCAATGCTTGATTTTAACAGCTTGAAAAGATAGATTTTTTTCCCCCCTTCCATATGATGCCCAGCCTCTGCTTCTTCTAAATGGTTCAGTATTCCTGATTGTGTGTTAAAGTGTTTAAACTGCAAAGGACAATTGGACTTTTGATTTGAAACCACAATGTATTTCCCTGTTTCGAATGGTAGTATTTATCATCAAGACATCTTAATAGTTACTTATGCATTCATATGAATTGTGTTTTCTTGTCCAGAAGACCATCTTGCCCTGCCTTCTTGTTCTTGCCATTAGTGTGTCACTGTCTGATGCTTCTTGCTTCTTTATGGAATGCAAGCCAGGGATGTCTGACGGTGTGACTGTAGGTAAGATGTCAACAGCTCTCAACTTGACAGACATCATCAGAATCACTGCCTGATTTGATTTGTCCCTTCTGTGCAATTTATCACCACTTAGAAATAAGTGGAAACAGTGGAAAGAAATCAATGGGAATGGGAGGGAAACGGGATATGGTAAGAGCAGAATTTATAATACATTATAAAAAGGAGAAGCTATTTAGGGAGAATCACACGGACCAAATTACAAATTAATTTTGTCCAGGGAAGTAGCATGGGCTGCATTAACTAATGCTGCCAAGAACCACTGGAAACAGAGGGACACAGCACTCTCTTCTCCCTGCATTACAAAAGCACACCCTGCTCTGCTGGGGAACCTCCATGTTTTGCAGATGGGGAGGTTCATGTAAAAAGCCAGCAAAGGTCCCACCCATTGTGTACAAGTAGCACTGCTGTTGGTGCAAGGATCTGACACTGAAGGCTGCTCACACTGTTTTCAGGCTGCCTTGACTCGGAAGGAAAGCTGCATGAATTTGGTTCCCGATGGAGGACAGACGACTGCAATGATTGCTCCTCTTTCAGGCACGGTATTAGCTGCTGCTCTAGGTGAGTGCAGAGCAGCAGTGGGGGTTTTTCTCTGCTGCCATGATACAGCACAAACCACTCCCCTTCACACAAGGGTTCCTGAGAAATGACCATGACCCTTCTCTCACTCACTTCATATCACAAACTTATGCATTCGTGTAACACCATCATCACTGAACATGCAAAAATTTCCTCTGAAAAATACAGGTCATGTTTAACAAAAGGTTTTTGATCTAAATAAAAAGAGAATTTAATTCTTCTTGGAGCAAAAGCTTCAGGCAAGTTACTGACTCAAGAGAGAACACGTAGTTCCTTAAGAAATTCCTCTTAATCCTAGTCCAGAGCTTTCCAAACCCACACATTGCCCCGCTTTCCCCTGCGAAGCAGCTCAAAATACACTGGCCTGTCTTTAATTTTTCCTAGAGGGACACCCAACCACTCTTATAATTCTTGTTCCATATTGTGGGTGAAGAGGAAAAGCAGTGATATGGGAATAGCAAGGAAACACAACAAACATCCCTTAGGTGTAAATCAGATCAGTAAACTACATCTGTGCCCTCATCCTGATTAAGCAGCAGACTAAGTAACATTTGAACTGGGAGCTTTGTGCAAGTTCCCTTTTCTGCTCCCAAACATCTCCTCAGTATAGCTTCTTCATATTAAAAGTGTAGATACCATGTGAGGTGGAAGCTGTTTACTCCTTGTTCTCATCACCTTTTTTCTTTTCTCAATGACAGCTATGCAACACCAGTTGACTACGATAAAGAAAAGTGTGAAAGCATTTTCAACAAGGAGACCTGTTCTTATAAAGTGTTGGAGAAAGATGATCACTCAAAAGAGTGCCCAGTCCATTCTTGGGTGGCATAACAGAAGAATGGTGGATTGGGGGGATATTTCCTTTTATTGTTTTAAGGGTTCTCTTTCACAAATTCAAGAACACTTAAAAATGCAGTTGTTGAGTGAAATCTACTCATAAATCCCAACACAAAATAAAACTGAATATCTACTCCCCAAAAAATCCCTTGGTTTCTCTGCCTTCTGCTTCACCATGAAGAACTGACCTGTTCCTCCCTTGAGATCAGACATAAAAGCTGACATTTAAAGTATCCTCAGTAGCTGCTAATCTTTATTCTTCTCTGGTCATTCTTCAGTGCCAGGGAGTATATTCTGTAATCTGTGCACAGCTGTATCTTAAAGCTAAAATAAAATCAGATGAAGCATCAGAAAGTCATGTGACATTTTCCTCTTTGAGCATGAAAACCAAAAGAATTAACATTCCAAAAACCATGGGGAAAAAAAATGAAAAGCTACTCAAAAATCTTTCTGAACAGTCTGTTTTTTATGAAAATGCCTTACATGATTAACTTTTATCCAATATGGCTCCCTGGAGACCAACTTATTGACTGCAAATCTATCAGCTACCCAATCTAACCCAGCACCCAGTAATCCATTACACTGACAGCAGAGCAGGGCCAGTCCTCAGCCTGAGGTCTGGGTAAAAGAAAAGGAAATTAAAGTTTTTAAATTGGCCAATGGGCAGCATTGTAGTTGGTGGAGTGACTCATCTGGACTGGACTCAGACGGGGAAGAAGCTCAGTAATTCCACAAACAGTAACTGAGAGGGATATGCTTGCCAGCATAAGCTCTCCTTTGGGGTGCTGCTTCATAATCTTTATGATACATTTATTCAATTGCCTCTTTCCAAAAGTGACCATGAGCATCCTATGTCTCCATGTTCTATTTCTCCGTAACAGACAGAGTGTGTCAATGTTTCCACAGCTCCTCCTTTCAAGTTATGGAACAAGCATATACCTCGTCAGTAGTGGCAAGTCCTGCTGTCTGCAGGGGAAAGGCAAACCTCAGCTTCTATCAGCCTTAACTCATGTGCTCCAATGAACGATACAGGGATTACACTCCAGTGTTTTATTTCACTTCTACTTTCCTTTCTCCTTTCCTAACCCTGTCTTTCCTACACTGTCTTTTATTTCCCTGCCACATGCCCTCTTGTAAGAGGACCTGCAGTAATGAACTTTATACAATACTGCACTTTTACTTTATTCAGAAGCTGCTAATATCACTGTGCAGATAGAATAAAGGTGTCACAAAGCCCATAGGTTACACAAAGAGCAGTGACAATTACATCTACTGAGAAAAAGGTAAGCGGGTTCCTGCATGATTTGAGCTGCATCTGTTCCACTTTCTCCTTCCTTGGCTACACAAAACGCACAACACTGGTTGAGGTTTTGTGCTCCCCATCAGATGTCAACAGGCTGCCCAGAGCATGTGCAAGATTGGATTATAACTGAACCAATGTTCCTGTGAGGCCCGGGAAGATGCTAGATGTTCAGAGCATAACAATCAAAATAATCATTTGAGAACAAGAGATACCTCTCCCCTCATTATCTTCAGGCAGTGGGATTGCGATCAAGTACTTACCAGAGCTAGTCTGACAATCTGTCTGTTACAATACTCGTTTATTTTGTAGTTTACCTCCAAACTCACCTGATACTGACGTATTAGTTTTTTCTAACATCTACCCATATCTGGAAGCTACTGGGACCTGCTTATGGTATATTTATGCAGACAGTCAATTATAGTGCAATGTGGAAAAAGTTTTGTAACCAAATATTTAGGCATGTGATTAGTTTCTGTCTTGATCAGTTGTCCCTTAATGGTAAGAAACTATTTTATAGAACTAGTCAAAAAATAAGATCCAGAGTTCATAATTCTATTCAGGAAGAACACAAGCTAGAGAACATAGAGACTAAGAATATAACAGTAACCAAGCAAGGTACTTTGATGACATTTCTGAAGGCAGTCTTATAAGTTTTCTCAGTATTTGCAGAGACATTAATCATTATGGTTTCTGTGTACAAGAGATCAAGTTCCATGCAGTCTTCCAAAAGAGGAGGTGATTTTTCTCCTCCTCTCCTTAGTTAATTCTTTTCTGCATCATTAAAGTCTGATAATTTCTTTTTCTCCAGTTATTCTGAGGGCATCAGTCTTTTTCATTCTGCTGTGGATCATGATCTGATCTCTGAATCAGAATGAAATCCACTGAAATCCATTTTTTATGCTGAGCTTTTTGCTGCATGTTTAAGTTTGGCGGTTTGAGTACTCTCAAATAGAGTAGAAGCAGATGAGGTATCCTCTTATGTACTCTCTGGAAATTGTCCAAAGGCTGGAAGCATTACAAATCCTGACTTATTTCAGATGCACTCTACCCAAGCATTAAGGCCATGAGAGAAAGTTTAAAATCCAGGCCATTATTCTATCTTGTATCTTACAGGTGCCATCTCTGTGAAGACAGGTTTCATGTTCTCAGACATCAATCTTGCTGTTTACAGCAGCTAAAACATTCAGATTCACAGCCTGTCCTAATATCCAACGAAAGAGAGCAAAAATGATTTGTCTACCAAGAGGAAATGGCATTTCTGAGGCCACTCTAATTTTCTATAGTGGAATGGAGTGTGGACAGATGTTTTTGGAGCTTGTGTAATAGTGCTCAGCCTTTTTTTATACAGCATAAAGATTTTTCTCTGTATTATTATCATCCTGGCAACAGATGCAATTTGATCCCCACCCACAAAGAGGAGCTCTTCTCCATACTAGGTTTGTTCTTGCAATAATAAAGTGCCTTTACACAGAATCACAGAACATTCTGAGTTAGAAGGGACCCACAAGAATCATCGAGTCCAGCTCTTGAATGGCCCATATGGGATCAAACTAACATCCTTGGTGTTATTAGCACCCTGCTCTAACCCACTGAGCTAATCTCCTCAGATTCCTGCTCTCTAGTTGGTTTAATCCAGACTGTTTCCTGCTTGCCTCTAGCTATCACCTTTCTTATTCTAGCATTCCAGTGTTCTGGTCTAACTCATTCTTCCGGATGAGCAGCCCCAGTGCCTTCAGCACCAGCCAAGGATGATGAAGTTGAGTTAGAATCATTTTGAAACTGTACTGACGTACTCACACATACAATTGCAATTCTCCTACCTCAAATACTAGCTTGCCTCTTCTGTTTCTGCTTCTCACTCTCACCTGCTTGGAAAACACCAGATTTACTGTTCACAAAACAATCTATCCAATGTAATGATCCAGTATAATCTAGCAGGTCAAGGGAGCTGATCCTTCCACTCTACTTGTCCCTAGTGAGGCCACATCTGGAATACTGTGTCCAGTTCTGGGGTCCTCAGTACAAGAAGGATAAGGAACTACTGGAGAGGATCCAGCAGAAAGCATCTCTCTTACAAGGAGAGACTGTAAGACCTGGGTCTGTTTAGTCTAGGGAAGTGAAGACTGAGAGGGGATTAACATGCAAATATCTCAAAGGCAGGTGTCAACCCTTTTCAGTGGTGCCCAGTGACAGGACAAGGAGTAATGGCCTTAAGCTAAATCACAAGAAGTTCCACCTCAACATGAGGAAGAATGCCTTTATACTGATGGTGGCAGAGCACTGGAACAGGCTGCCCAGAGAGGTTATGGACTCTCCCCCTCTGGAGATATTCAAAACCCACCTGGACAAGTTCCTGTGTAACCTGCTCTAGGTGAACCTGCCTTGCCGGGGAGGTTGGACGAGATGATCTCCAGACATCCCTTCCAACCTTAACAATTCTCTGATTCTATTGATATTCAGTGACATTGCTCAGGACACACTATCCCAAGCACTTGCACTGTGAGCCTGTTTACTTCCCTTTGCAAGCCTATGCTAAGAGAATGTATTATTGAAGGCATCTTCCAATGACATCATGCCTAGCACAGTCTCCAACACTTCAGGGACTAGAGGACTTGAAATACTTTTTGACAAACTACTGCACTGTAACTGTAGGGTTGCTCTTTCTAGTTTTTACTAAAGAAGGTGACACAGAAAGGGTAGCAGCATGGATAGAGATGTTTTACCAGGAACAGCAGTGATAGAACAAGGGTTAAAGGTTTAAAATAAAAGACAGTACATTCAGATTAGATACAAATGAGAGATTCTTTAACATGAGGGTAGTGAGACACTGGAACAGGTTGTCCAGAGAAGCTGTGGATGCCCCATCCCTGAAAGTGTTCAAAGACAGGTTGGATGGGGTTTGAGTAACCCAGACTAGTGAAGGGTGTCCCTGCCCATGGCAGGAAGGTTGGACTAGATTACCTTTAAAGGTCCCTTCCAACCCAATCCATTCTAGAGACATCTGTCTACAACAGACTTCCAGGTTCAATTGTAAGGCAAGTCCACAGAGAACACCAACTCGCAAGTCATGATCAAAGATTTACTTTCCTTTTTAAGGTTGACTAGACACATGCACCCAAATTCCAGAAAAGCCAGACTGAACCAGCACTCCAGAGCTATTTAATCACATTTTAAATCCATGCAAGCACCTTTCTTCACCATCTGCCAGGTCTCCTTATGATACGTGGCTCTACCCTATGAAGAGGTAGGAAAGGTTCATTTCATGTCTAATCCAAACAGCCTCTGGGGAGCAGTCTGCTCTCCTCTTGTCTGCTCCAAGTTTCAACATAGAAAGAGATGATGTTACCTATTGCATCTAGTTTTGGAACAGCAGAAGCAAAGCAGGGACTTGGCTCCCTTCTGTAGCAAAAAATCTAGCTGTGGGAAGATGACCAAACCATCAAAAATCAAAAAAGCAGAGACAGAGCATACAAAGCTCTGCTTTGATCTTCTCACTTCTGCCAAGTCATGTTTTGCCTTTGTATCTCTGTACTTCCACATACACAGCTATAGTCCCTTATAAAGAACACATCCCTCACCTTCAAAACTTCAGATAATAACACCACTAGCTCCACACAGTGGAAAGAAAACATTCACAGGAGAGTTTCCTCCACTATCCTGTCAGGTTAAAGGTTTAGAAAGCTCTGCAGAA